TTTTTAAACAAGTCAATGATTTTAGGCACATCACTTCTTTTCCAGGCTTTTGCAACTGTAATTTTTACAAGTACTAAATTATGAGTGATCAATTCCTTATGACTCTTAAATATTTCAAATCCCTCAGGAAGGTTCAATCAGAACATTAACAGGCTATCTGATAAGCTGGCATCCTTTTTTCCCCCCTCGCTATGTCTCCATCCCTCTCCCAGAACAGTTTAACTCTGGGGCACATCCACTATACGTGGTAGAATCCTCCTAACTGACTGCAGTCCCTCCAACCTTTGCCTGTTCCTGTCCCATAAATGTAATTGTGAAGTACCATTGGATTTTGAAATAATTTTCTTATATTACTGTGCAGATGCGTGTGAGGACTGTTGTTCCAGATGGGTGTCCCATTCTTTAGTGCTAATTTCTGATCCAATTTAATTAGACCATTTTGTCATACAACAATGTTTTTGTGGGGGGGGGGTTTCTAATTGGCTCTTTAAAATTGTTTTAAATGGCCATTTTTATTTCGCTTTATATAACACAGATAATAGGTGTGTTTCATAACTGTGACCAACACTTTCTCAAATTCTGCCAAAGTTCTACTGAGATTTACCTTCCTTTGAGAATGTGTTGAAAAGTCTAAATTGCAGATATTGGAAAAATAGGATTTTCCTGTCGCCTACGGTACATTGTGTCTCTAAAAGATCTAAATATATTTTCCTTGAACAATTATCCAAAACGTATAATATCAATATGTTTCTAGATACTAAAGCTTCCTAATAAATTATCAGAATTAAATTCATTATTAAAATATAAAAGTGCTAAGGGTGATGGGCATGAGCTTAATTCCTATGTGTTATCCCAGGTTTTTATTGTAGTTCTCATAAACAGTTATTGGCCTGAAAGACTTCTTTAGTCACAGTAAGTTTGTTGGACAATATGTTTTCTCTCTCTTTACCCAGTGCTTTACTGTGCATTGGTGTTATCCAAAACACCAACTTTCTAAGATGGCTGGCATGATAGTAATATTTAATGTTTGGAAGCATCAGTCCCTGTCCCCCCGCCCTTTTTTTTTAACTGAAGCCTTTGAAGGATGGAATTTTCTTAAGCTAAGTTTCTTATTTCCCCAAATGCATTGATTTATTATAATCTGCTAGGCATCTAAGAGATTTGCTAGCAGTATAATAGGCAGCTTGGAATAGAAAGTTAATTCTAGATAAAATATTCATTTAATTACTGCAATTTTACCTAACAAAGATATTTCATATTTTAACCAATTTTCTAAGTCTCTTGATTCTTTCAGTCACATGAACATAATTAGAACTGTACAAGTCCTGCCATTTTCAGAAATGTTTATCCCTACACACTTCAATGAATCAGTTACCAATTTATATTTATAGCTATCCTTTATCTCTTCTGTGTATCTGGTCCTACACCAATGTCTAGGAGTTCTGGCTTTTAATAGTTAATTTAAAGTCCTGAAACTTTGCCATATTCTATTATTTCTTTTTGTAGCTCAGGCTGTGTTAATTGGTTTTTGTAATGAATAACTTACTATTGTCACTGTATAATGTTAATTTATGTTCCTCTTGTCCTATGTTTGTTCCCTGTATATTTGGATTACTTCCGACTTGACTGAGCCAAATGGTTCTATTACCAGAGCAAAAAGGAGGGATGATAATGGTCATCCTTGACAGCTCTTAAAAGGATCATTTTTTCTTTGACATGTCCAGTTACTCTTACAGCTGCATATATAGAATATATAGCAGATATCCAGTTTGGAAATTTTGGCTCTAGTCCAAAAGCATCTAAAGGGTTTTTTGTTTGTTTTGTTTTGTTTTGTTTTGTTTTGTTTAAAGCTGCCAATTAACTCAGTCAAAGCTTTTTCAGCATCTGATAATAAAAATAGGTGGAGTTCATTAGGCGATTCTGCATGAAAAATCAGATTTAATACTCTGTGGATATTATTACTTAACTGCCTATTCATTATGGATGTTGTTGGTCTATATTAATATATTTAAGGAGTATTTTTAAATGTTTGTTAAAACTGATGCAAAAATTTGTGTCTTGGTTTAATAAAGATATAGGTCTATATGAGGTACAAATAGCTAGATCTTTACTTCATTTTGGGATTACTATAATATATGCTTCTCTCCAGGTATTAGGAGTCTGTCCTTCAATATATTGTTAAAAACTTCTGCTAATGGGTGCAGTGATTCTGCTCTTATAAAGCATTTTAAAGAGAAGATGGTCTGTAGATAGCTGGGGAAATGGTGAACATTATTACCTAGAGGTCATATGGGCTAGCTGCCAGGGGAAAGGAGATGTTCTCTGTTTTACTTTCCCTCACTCTCTTCTTTCATTACTTATTAAACTGAACTGAAATGGCAGAAAAATAGCCTTTCTGCAGTCTGGCTGCTGATTCTCCATTGAGATTGTGTCACCTAATTTTCTTAAGTGTATTTTCCAAGTATGATCCAGGGATAAATCTGGCCCTACAGCTGGAAAATACTTGCTTGCCTTGCTGCTGGCATGGACGCCATCTTGCTGTCTTGCAGCAGACTAATGCAACTCAGGGCCATGTTGCATATTACATTTACTATGTTAAATGTACATAAACCATGAGCATTCATGCATTCAAGCAGTAAAAAACACGCTAAATCCATTTGTATTGTAGCAGTTAATAACTTTATGCACAAGGAATGTCTCTAAATTGCATAAACCAGTTCTCAGCCACTGGCCCATGCACCAGGTCCAGCCCCCAGTGACATCATCTAGTGCGTGGAGCCCTGCAGGCCATGGCCCTGCATGCTAGATTTGTTTGCTCTGCCTGCTCACGGGGCTCTATGTCAGCACATAGGGCCTTGGAGCCCACTTTTGGCATGCAGTGCCTGACCCAGCCCAGGACTCTCATCTGGCCTGTGGAGCCAAAACATTGAGAATCACTGTATTAAGCTACCCTCTTTGGCTGCTGTCAGACTGTTCAATGCAGGCAATATGAACAGTTTGCACTGCTCACCCAGCTGTGACATCAGGCTGGGATCCCTCTGCTGTACCAAGCCCACAGGTAGGACAAGGAAAGCCACACAGGTGAGAAGGAAGGATCCTGGATCTTTCATTTGTCAGGTTCCTCCAGAATCAAGCTGAAAGCCGGGAGCCTGCAGCCTGAGAGCATCCTGAGACTGGGCCCGACAAGCACCTCATCACTGCTGGGTCAAGATTCCAGTGTGGTACTGGGGCTGTGCCTCGAGATCTCAGTAAAAGTTACTAGGTGACTACTCAGGTTTCATGTTAATACAACCCAGAGTGAACACGTGCTGTTATGTCCTAGGTGCCAGTTCGCGCCTTAGTTCAGCAGCAGGGAGGATGCCAGGATCCACCAGAAAGAGGGAAAACACCTTTTCTCTCTTGCAGCTGGGAGGAGGGTGTGGCTTGATGGGTTGATGTTACAGCAAAGTAGGTTTAGATTGGATATCTGGAAAACCCTCTTCAATATTAGTGCAGCAAGGCAGTGGAATAGACTGCCTAGGGAAGCTGTGGACTCCCCGTCACTGGAGGTGTTCAAGAGGCTGGACAGCCACTGGTTGTGGATGACAGGGGCATAGTTATGACTGTTCTGCCATGGATATTTCCTATGCTTCTGGGCTTTGCTGGCTGCCCCCTGGGCTAGGAGGGGCAGCTACCTTCCTCCCCACCCTTCTGCTACATGTGTCAGGGGTTACTACTACTATCCGTCAAGGGTTTTCTTAAGCCTTCCCAGAGACGCTGGGTGCTGGCAGCAGATGTGATTGGGGGGTGCCAATGCTCTTGCTCAAACTGAAACCCAGAGGTTCTTGAATAGAAGGTCTTGTCCCTCTGCCTTAGGGTCAGGCTGTACCTGGGGTCAGGCAGGAAAGTAACCCCATGGTCAGGTGGGTACAAACTAGGGGGATTGCCTTCCTTTGTGGAAGGGGGCATGGCCCGCTAGCCTGACCTCCTGAGGGCATACTAATAACTTTTCATGGAGGCAGGACACTGGCTGCTGTGGTTCACCTGCTTGACCTGTGGCGGAGGAAGGTACAGGTACTCCTCACTTAACCTCATCCTGGTTAACGTTGTTCTGTTATTACGCTGCTGGTCTATTAGAGAACATACTCGTTTATTCGGTTATAACATTGTTTGGCCGCTACCTGCTAGTAGGTAACTACTGTGACGTAACTGGATTCGCTTAACGTCCTTTCACTTAAAGTCACATTTTTCAAGAATGTAACTATGGCCTTAACCAAGGAGCAGCTGTACCAGGGCTGTAGTGTGACACAGTTAGTTCCCCCCCTCTCCTCCTCTTTCAGCTTATTTCCCAAATGCTCATACTGGAAGCTCAAAATGATCGTATGTGCTAAAAAACAAGGGCACACTGAAAACCTATGCATATCTGTCTTTTTTCTTATGTACTTGATATTGCTCAGTAGAGCTCCAGTTATTGCTCAGCATTACTCCAGCGAGCGAGAACTGGGTCATCCAAGCGGACGCATTTCTTCCTTTCGAGGCCAGAGGTGACAGCAGCCCCCAAAGTCGGTTAAGACTCCCCGAGAGCCACTTGCGAGAGGTGGGGTTGTTGTTGTTTGTGCATGTGCCGCGTCAACGAGCCGCTTCCAAAACGATGATGCATCTTGCACACTTTTCCTGTTCAACACGGGGCTTGAAATGATCGGACGAAGACGATCGTTATCGCACGCCCGGCAACACTGTCCTTCCCCGCCTTCCTCTCCCTCATGATATGGTAGGTCAGGGCCCGCGGGCGCAAGGTGCGTGGGCGGTACTCGGCCCCCCACCCCAATTGAAGGGCTCCGCCGGGCCGTTACGCACACGCGCTGC